GTTTTCTTCCTCTTCACTGCAGGGATTAACATTTGAGGAAGTAGAGAACTTCTTTACATTCCTGAAAAACATAAATGACGTTGACACAGCTTTAAGCTTCTACCACATGGCTGGAGCATCTCTTGATAAAGGTAATCAACATTTTTCCACCTGATATTTTTAAGAGAAAATAAAATTACTATATTTACTTTTATCAGATATGTTACAGGTTTTGTGATATTTTGAATATTTAAAAACCCTTCATGAAATCATTCTTCAATTTATTATGAAACAGTTCAGCAGTAGGACATTTACAATCTATAAACAGATATCCATCTAACTCTGACTGTCTCCTGCTAGGTAGTCGGTAGTAAATACCCTGTTTCTCCAACAATACGGCCTCCCCCAATAGGAAGTCCCAGCATGTTTTATAGGCATGAAATGAAATTAAGCCCCTCCCCCCAAATTAAGGCTTATATTAAAACATGCAAAATGGGGGGAATGGTGGGGGGGCTTGCCGTTAGGAAGTACTTTTGTTGCACACCCGGATATGGTGCTGCCTGCGTTGACCCCAATATGAAGTGCCCCACCAACGCCGAGGTCAACATCCAAACCGTCGCCGCCTGCCCGAAGATGCAAGGGGGGGGGGAATTAAGTCACCCCCAAAAAGACGGCCTAGTCATTTTTTCAGGGCTCAAAAAAGAAAGAAAGACCCGGCCTTATTATATGAGAAACACGGTAATATAAGTAGACATTAAAGTTCTTTGTCTACAGAAGCACCATATCTGAGCATTCAGAGTCAACCTATACTACTAATGTGTTAGCTTTCTGTATCCAGTGAATTTTGTATATATGGGATAAAATTATAAAGTTAACTGAGTGTGTGTTTAAAAACTAGAAAGTGACTCTACTATGTACTCCCAAGCAGTGGGGTGTTTTGCACCTATTTTGGCCATAATAGAAATGAAGGAAGATATTTTAAAAAGAATCCTCTTAATTTAATTTCTAGGGTTTCAATACTTGTCACTGGCTTGGTTCTACCTCAGTCTTCAGCCTCTCTACACCAGCTGGCAAACAGGATTACCCTAATTGTATTGTTGCTTTTGATTACTTTGTGGATGTCCCCTAAATTCTTCTTCCCTGGTGCTCTTTAAGATAAATTAAGGTGGACTCCACTTGAAAAGCAGACAGCACTTGGTATTAAATATTTTGTTTGTTTCTTTATTAGATTTATATCTCTTTTGTACACTAGCATCACACAATATTCCATCATTTTTCTCCCCTACAACAACAATCCTCCCAGTTATATTGTTGATTGGTGCAGAAGCACTGTGAGCTTTCGTTGGTAAAGGGGAACTTGAATTTAGGTTTCCCCACTCCCTTAACTACTGTACTCCACTGGCTGTTATCTGTCCCAATTTCGTGTTCTCAGCACCAGGCAGCATCTTATCCTGATACCAAGTGCACACAATATTTGCAATAAACTTCATGCGTTTGTGATACTATATGAAGCACATTCATTCAATTCCGGCACAAGAGTCTTGTTTTTCTTGTGCCGTAGCATATGTTACAATTTTCCCAAAGCTGCTGCAGATTTTCAGACAGTGGAAAGATATTTCACTGAATTATAAAGCAGGCAGATTTTAAATAATATAAATAACATTTGCATAATTCATGCTGTTGCAGCTATTACCTTTTTTTTTTCTTCGTGTCCCAGTTCTATGTGAATGTTCCATGTTGGTGCATCAAGATAGGACTAGTAGAATTACTCTTTTGAACAGGGAATTTTGAGCATTCTAAGAAGGAATCTGAGTCCAAGTTAGTTTAGAAACACAATTTTAAATATGTGTGACTAGGCTTAAGTTGAGCGTCACACTTCCAGTTGTAATTATAAATGTTATGAGTGAAACGCTTAGATTTTTTTTCTAAAGGGTTATCCACACATCCTTGTTATTTATTTGTTTGTTTCCCACCTTTATTATTTTATAACTCAAGGCAGTGAACATATCCAACACACTTTCCTACTACTACTTTCTCCTCAACAACAACCCTGTGATGTGAGTTGGGCTGAGAGAGAGTAACTTGCCCAAGATCACCTAGGTGGCTTTCATGGTTGAGGCAAGAGTTGAACTCATGGTCTTTTGCTTTTTACCTAGTGTCTTAACCATTAGACCAAACTGGTTCTCTTAGGTGAGATGGGCAGAATAAAAATCCGATTAATTAATGGCTGTAGGCCAGAGATGTTTTGGTAACTGTTCTTTAAGGACTTGGACTGATGTGCTGCCTCCATTTCATTCTTTATTCAGAGTTGAAGGCTATCTAAGTCTGTATGTTTTGGCCTATTTCCATCTTCTCTAAATACAAACTTTGCCATTTCACATGATTCTGATAGCTCAGAGGTGACTGTGGTGATGACAGCATGGTCAGCAGTCCAACTCTATTGGCTGCTTTCAACTGTTTCAAGTACATAGCCATCCATTCAGTCACTGGATATCACCCTCCATGGCCTTATTCACGTTTGCTTCTAGAATGACATGGAACTGTTTTTCACACTTCTCATATTAAATTTGTTCTCACCTCCCCCCAAAACATTCAGGGTTTCTTTGTAGCATTCTGGGATTCCATAAAAGCAGCTTTATATGAGAAAAGAAAGATACCCAGGTATATGCATACACTGAGGAATTACCGTGTTTCCCCCAAAATAAGACCTAATCAAAAACTAAGCCCTAGCATGATTTTTCAGGATGCTTGTAATATAAGCCCTACCCCAAAAATAAGCCGCAGTTAAGATTGTCAGCCAGACGGGTGCATTTAGTACTGTATTTGTATTCATGATTATATACAGTAAAGAGGTTTTTTTTTAATGTGGTTTCCATGATGCCTTGCAAATCATTTCTATTTCTGTTGCATTAAGTATCGATCACAAGAATGCCCTGTTTTACTTAAAGGCTCACATCAAACAAGCTGGATTGTTCATTAAAAAAAAAAGACTTGCATTTTAATTACTAGCATCTGCTCCATAAACAAGGTTTAGTATTTTTTAGTGCACAGTTATTAGATCAATAATATGGATCCTGGTTTCTGAGAAAAGAAATGATACAAAATGAACAGCTGAGCACACGATAGAAAACCGAAAATCCTCCACTTCCTGTTTATCTTATCTGAATGAGATTTATTTAATATATTCTCCCTTATACATTTCCCTGAGAGGAGTGGAAATCTGTTCTGGATGAGATTTAGGCAGCCTTGAAACAGAAAAGGCATGAATTATTTCATGGTCCAAGGAGGAATGCATCGTGTTGAAAGCCATTTTAGGGGGAAATTTGGATTTCAATAGACTCTAAGGGCTATGCAAACTCATAATGCCAGTAAAAAGAATAATCAGCAAAGGAATCAAATTTTGGGTTGCTCGCACCGAGAAGAAGCAAAGTCTTGCCAAGTCCTCCGCCTGCATAAATAGTATGCTTTGTATTTTTAATGAAGCAGATGAGGTGCTATGTTGTTTCCTTCCAACCTTCTGTGATCTGATTCTGATGAATTAAAAGATAGCCTCCTTCACTGCAGTTGAAGAATGGTTTCGGCTGGGCAGACTATTCAGCAAAACCTCAGTGTGTGCAGAGCAGTCGCTGGAAATCACTGAGGAAAGATATAAGAAATCTTACATTAAATCAAGTTACATTGGCTACTTCTGTTAGCAGCTCTTCAAGGTCTTGTGCTGAATTTTTTTTCACAGTTCTATTTACCCTAGATCAGGGGTCTCCAAAGTTGGCAACTTTAAGCTGGCTGAGGAATTCTGGGAGTTGAAGTCCACAAGTCTTAAAGTTGCCAAGTTTGGAGACCCCTGCCTAGATGCTTAGCTGTGGCTGTTGGAAATACAGAAAGAACGGATCTTTATATAGGAAATTTGACCTGCAAAATCACATGCCCCATCTCTGCAATGTATTCATATGGAGCCATTACACATTGAGAATAAGCCATGATCCAGATAACTTAAAGAGACTGTGAAAGTTTAAGCCATAAGAAGATGAATATAACTAAAGCACAGAGCCTGCATACCTAGTGAAATTTAGTTTAGCAGCTATCACAAGAGTCAAGGTCGGTATTTCAGTCATTTTTGACCCCAGCATATTCTCACTCATGGGATCCTCCTAGGTTGCATTTCCTACTTGCTGTGGGTGTTGCTTCAACCCCTTTTGCGATAAAAACAAAAGTCTTTTGCAACGAAAACAAAATTGTGCTGTTACAATCCTGTGTATGCGTTGTGTTGAAAAATTCAGTGCACGTATTCCACATTTATAAATGCAGCCTTGAGTTGAGATCCATAATTGCCAGGCAATTACAATTACCCTACTTATTAGGGTTCACTTACCCTCATTATGTATTTATTTACAGAGAGCTATACAAACATTTCTATACTTCACCACATCGTTTAACTCAAAAGGAACAAAACCATGAAACTGCATAACAATTCCAAAGTAATACATTATAAAAACAGCCCAGGTCCAAGAGGTCAATTAAAACAGCAAAGATGTAGCCAGGAATTGACTATAGATTTGTTCACAGACTGTTCATTTTCATGTTGGAAGTCCAGCTAAAGTGGGAAAAGGAAGCCAAGGAGTTTCTATAATGTAATCTTGAGTACATAGCTACCATTTTCAACAAGAATATCAGGAATTGCTTTGAAGCAAGTCTGGAATCACTTGAGAGGAAATCAGAGGAACTATGGAACGAAATTAAAAAAGGTGTTAGGGTGAATGTGAAAAAAAAACATGGATGTTGGAGAAAATTCTTGAGAATGCCATCCAAAGCCAAGAAAACAAGCAAATGGATCATGATGCAAATCAATCCAGAGTTGTCATTTGAGTCAGGCTGGAATTAAGTGCATCTCTGGAAGACTTACAGCTTTTCCTGACCATATAGAAGCAGCTTATAGAGAATGACTCTGTAGCTTTGCATAGCTCTCATCCATTGAATATCCATAACCTTGTATTGGATATCTATTATTTTAATATATTTGAACCTATTTATTACTTTAATGGATATAAGCCTACCATTTATTACGTTATAGTCAAGCATATAGTTTCCTTTCCAAATATTTGAACCTATTTATTACTTTACTTACTATTCTTTCTTATAGACTCCTGTAATAATC